GGGAAATATGACCTTTTGGCCTTGAACACTAAATCAGATAACTTGCTTAATCCTTAGGACTCCCTTTTCAACCACTGCTATGTGAAAACCATTACTAACACAAATCATTGCTGAATTTTAAATTTTTTTCATTTATATTTTCTGCCTATATTCACATAATTCCTTTTTGCTGAAACTACAAGCCAACAAGTTTGGCGCACAGATTCTGATCATGTCAAGTACAGTACTGATGTCAAGCAGGTTGTATCCCTATTTGAGGAACTGCCTGATGTGCAAAAGATCTCTCTGAACAGTCTCTTTATGCCTTGGAGTTTTTCACCCAAGTACTAAATCCAGTCTTGTATACTTATATGATCAAAGCCTGTGGGAAAAGCTGCTTGTAGTCTGGTATTTATACAGTGTTGATGGCTATGAAGTTACAGGGAGTAAACAAACAAGAGTTGAAATCAAAAGTAGGCTTCTATATAACACTGCAGAACCCAACCCAGAGGTCATTGCAACAGATATCAAATATTTAAGAACAACATCTGTATTGTGGAGAAAAAAGCTATCAATGGCTGGCTTCACCCAGGTAATTGCCCATCCATGGATTAACCAGACGTCAACAATGACAGGTTGTGCGAGGCAGCACAGCTTTATTTTATTCAGTTTATCATTCAAACTAAATCCTGCACAAAGATTACATAGTGAACTAATATAGTTACAAAATTAAAAGAAAAATAAGAATCAGAGAAATTGAGTGATAGACGCAGGAGATTTTTCCCCTAACAATTGAAATGATCATTCCAAAAGGTAAGAGCTGCAGAAAGCTCTCTGTCACTAGTGACATTTGTGCAAAGGGACTAAGACATGAGTATGATGTGAGAGATGTAAGGGTGTCTGTGTCCCTGTCCATGTACTTGCTACAAAGTATCTTGGCTTTTATTCCATAGTAAGAAGCATTCACACAAGATGCTCTCCCAGGCTGGCTGTGAGGTGGTGAGGAAGCCAGTTTACATTGAGCAAAATACTACCCTGAGATGAAACTAACTAGGGGATCAAGTACATATTTGGTTTTCTAGTAGTTACTCCTCGCTTGTTAAGGGATACTTTTACCCCAGAAGGGAATGACTTGCATCAGCCTAAAGGTATAAATGATGTCTGCCTCACTGTAACTAAATTAAGTTATATTACTCTGGGCAAATGTGTAGTGTGCACTCAAGGCCTGTGACACTGATGGAAGCAAGTCCATAGATATTTTAAGAATTTAGGGCATTTTGAACAGAATCCAGAAGCTAATGGCAAACCAACAAAATACCCTGAGGTTGGGGGATGTGGTCAGACTTCTTATAGTGAGAAGTCTGGTAGTAGTACTGGACAGGTACTGAAGAGCAGGAACTGGAGGAAATCAAAGAGACAGGAGATGCAAAAGGCATGGGGAGAGAAGATGAAGGCCTAGCTGAGGGTTTTAGCTGATATAGGGGAAGGAGATGGTGTAGGG